GCACACAGCCCCCGCCAGCCGCAAAGGCCTCTCCTCTCCGTGGGAAGTGCACCCTGTGACCCAGGCGGCCAGCTTTTTATGGGCCCCAGGTGAGCAGAGGGAACAGGGGACCTACTGTGCCTCCTGCAGGCCAAGCATGTTTGATGATTTCTGGACTAGGTGCTTCGTCCTGCGTGCACGTAAAAGCCATCTGGCATCGAACACGAAAGCACATTCAAGAAAAGATGGAGTGCTTTGGAGATTCTATTTCATGTTTGTCACAGAAATATTTTCTCTCATACATAATAAAAAAATAACATGCTTGCTAGTGGGAACTGTAAGCTTCTGGGGAAAACCTGTATAATCTCTAGTACATCTGTGGGTGGACGAGACCCACACCTGTCACAATGAGCACATCCCGCCCTGCCCACACTGGGCTCACTGCCAAACGGTCACCACGGAACTGCAGGTCACTGGACACCAGTGCTAGGAATCAGGGACACTTCTGGGCTCAGCTAGTCTAACCGGGAAGGCAGCTGGACCCACCAGACAGGCCCTATCTCACCGTGTCCAGCAGGCATGGACAATGGGAAATTATTTACATGGACATTCTAAAAGTGTGTCGTCCTCGAGGAAGTGCTGCAATTCCCCTAAGTGTTTAATAACAAAATATTTGGAATGAATTTTCAAGATAAATAAATATCACCTGTCATTTTAATGAGTCACTGTTATTGCAACTTAAAAGTTAAATTTAAAATAAAAACCACTCACAAAAATATATGCTTCCAGCCAAGTACACTATCTAATGGCAAACAGCCAAGGTCCTGGAATGACTGCAAAATGGAAAATCACATTCATAAAGTTTTTTGGGTTTTTTTGGGGGGTACCGGGGATCGAACTTGGGTCCTTGTGCTTGTGCAGCAGGTGTTGGAACCACTGAGCTAAATCCTTGGCCCTATAAAGTGTTATTACCTCCATTATAACAATGAAATACTCATTTCAAGGCCATCTTTCTTAGAGCAGAGAAATAGCAGCAATGAACCCAGGAGTCAATACTTCAACAACAACGCCCATAACACTTGGGCAAGAGACCACACCCTACTGATGGACGGATTGAGGGCAGTACCAGCATTGAACCCAGGGCCTTCCCATTGAGCTCCATCCCCCCAGTCTGTCTGTCTGTCTGTCTGTCTCTCTCTCTTTTTCTCCCCTGCCTTTTTTTCTATTTTGAAACAGGGTCTTGCTAAGCTGATAAAATGCCCAGGCCGGGCTGGAACTTGTGATCCTCCTGCCTCAGTCTTCCAGAGTGCTGGGATTCCAGGTGTGCGCCACCACATCCGCCTGAGAATACATACTTAACTGATTCAAAACCATCTCCCAAGTTGAGGAATACGCACAAATACACGATGATGACTACAACATTACTGAATGATGGTTAGGAGTACTAGAAACGATTTCAACATTTTCACTCAGAAAGTAAAAAGGAAGCTAATGCATCCCTTATTTGCACAGAAGGTATTTTGTGTGTGCTACTGTATTATCCTGAGTATTAACAGATGGACAGGACACAGTCTATGTCCTTATGGGTTCACGTTTTAGCAAAAATGTGAAAATAAGCAATTATCAAAACATATGCAAGCTATTATTCATTTGTTTCCTAGCCTATTTAAGAAACTTCAGGAATGTGAGCATTCTATCTGACGTGTAGTTCTTTTTTTTTAACCACTGTCACAATAAGTGCATTGCGTTTGGTCCTTCGATTCTCCCCAGGCCTCCAAGCTTATGAAAGCCATCTGCAAACATTTCTGGGCTCTGACCCACAGCCTGCCCTCTCTCAGGACAGTCAGGATTGGCAGAGACAGCTTCAAAATGAGATTTTATGACTCAGCCACTTATGAAAAGCTGTCCAGACTGAGGTTAAAAATTTTGCTGAAGATAATCTTTTAAACAACAACAATAACAACAAGCCCAAAAGTAGTAGAATAAACAAAAGACCTTGGAGGAAAAACATTCATGTACCTTTGGAGAGTACTAGCATTAAATCTACATTTTGCTTTTTCAGGGTCTATGTTTGACAACATCCAACAAGTAAGAAACAGGTTAAGTTTGTCATCACATTTTACCTTTCTCCCTCTGAAAAGGCATACATATTGTACACTCAGAGTACAGAAGTACTAAAATTGCTTGTCACAATCAGAAAGGCTCAACAAGTTTATTTTATTTATTTATTTATTTATTTATTTATTGTGGGGGATACCAGGATCGAACTCGGGTCCTTGTGCTTGCACAGCAAGCAGCGAAACCACTGAGCTAAATCCCCGGCCCCTCAACAAGTTTATAAATATGTGTTTAAAATAAGTCTAAGCCAGGCGTGGTGGCACGTGCCTGTAATCCCAGCACTCAAGAGGTTGAGGCAGGGGGACCATTGTGAGTTTAAGGGAGTCTGGGCTACATAGTGAGTTCAAGACCAGCCTGAACTTCATAGTAAGACCCTGTCTCAAAAAACTGAAAAAATAAAGTAAGTTTTAAAAAGACTGATTTCCTCGCTAATTTACATGTGACTTTTCACTAAGCCAGAAACATTCTAATGGAAATTGCAACTCTGAGATTCCTACTTTTTTATTGACTCATTTTTGCTTTTTCTCCTTAATAGAAACTGAGTTAAGGTCATTTCAGATGTTTGTTTAGTGTGTCTTTTGCAAAACTATGACTAGAAAGTTCATTTTAAAAATCCTTTCTCTTCACTCTTTCATTGCTTTTTTTTAAGAAGGATTTTTATCAAAATACTATTTATAAAAGCCTTCTTTTTTAGAAAGCGCCATTAAAGTCCACCCATTATTTCCAGTAATGGGCGACTAAGCAGCTGGGAGCAGCCTCTTCACTGTGATCAATTCCAACAGCTGGAGAAGGTGCAGATAAGCAAGCACCAGCTATGGGAAGACACTTTCAGCTCGCAGAGTGAGGCCAGGCAGAAGCCCTCAGGGGCAAAACAGCCTGTGAAGCTCATCTTCCCGGGGTACGGTTTGCGTCGCGGAGACAGAAGCCAAGCTTCAAATCATCCCAATTCCTGACAGGAAGGTAAGCCAAAAGTAAGCAGGCAGATAGGTGCAGAACATATGATTGAAAACTAAGAGAAACAACAGATAATAAAAACAGATACGAACAGAAAATAAGCCAGAAAATGAACTTAACAGGTATAAATTTCAAACTAAATATGCTTCACATATTCAAAACAAAAGATTAATGATTTTGTTAGAGTACTGCAAGTACAGAATTACATAGGCTGAAAAGTACAATAAAGATGTTAAAACTAAACATGTACATTTAGCATCATAATAGACTTACAAAGAGTGAAAGATGAAATATAAAAATAAAAATTAAAAAAAAAACTCAGAAAGAAACGAGAGCTATAAGACACCAAGATACAGGAAACCCTGAGGTGAGAGCTTCAGCTGCACGGGGTAACACCAGTGACTGCATTCCCAGCGGTGGAGACACTGGAAAACAGGCAGAAGAGGCTGCTGCTGAGCCTTTTCCAGAAAGCTGTGACTCAGAAGAAGGCTAAGAACAAAAACACCACTATGGTATGACAACCCACAGTGAAGCCACAGAACCGAAGAGAACAACTGTGCACAGAGCTCCTGGGCTGAGCAGCATCTCTTTGGGCAGGTTCTGGCATCTACTCCCAGGCCTCCACTTTCCAGCTGAGCTGCTTTGTGTTTAGGCTCCAGGCTTTCCAGTCCTTCTGACCTTCCTTCCTTTTATACCTCTGCCTTCATGGTACACAGAATTCAGGATTAACACTTTCATCCAGCTTGCCCCTAAGGGCTGCCGAGACAGGATACTACCTATATGTGCTACTTCGAGTTTAAGATTAAAGACAAAAGGATCATAGAGCCAGGCATGGGTGTAATCCCAGCACTCTGGAAGGCTGAGATAGCAGGATCCTAAGTTTGAGCCCAACCTGGGCAATTCAGCAATTTTGTGAGACCCTGTCTGAAAATAAACAATTTAAAAGTGAAGGGTCTAGATTCAATCCCCAGTATCAAAAAGGAAAAAAAAAAAAAAAAAAAAAAGAAGAGGAAATGTTCCCGAACAGAAGCATTCATGAACTGAAGTACCACTTGTACTTATACATGAAAAGCAACTGTGTTAAAAAGTCTCAGATTTCAGTTTAACACTGATTAACTTGAAATCTAATAGCAACAAAAATAAGCAGGAAGACAATTACTGACATATTAAGTGAGCCCTCAAGACTAACATTACATATGTAAGATACAGGTCAGGAACTGAATTCACCAATTCAATCCTTCTAGAGTTCTGCCCTAGACTTCTAATACCAGGAAACTAAATTCTGTGTTGCTGTTGACTCATTACAACATAAGATGTCAACATAAACGCCTCTCCCCTCTCCACATTTAAAGACCTCAAAGTACTGCAAAGTTGTGCCTTTAAAAATGCATATGATGAAATCTGAATCACTCTTCCTTCTAGGCTATAAGCCAAGATCTGTGTATCTTACTATCTAAATCTGCACTTCTTAAACACTCGCCCCATAAGGAAAAGCTCCCCTTGCTACTGTCTTCTGCATCTGCTGCTAGTCTGTCAAGTGTCCTACTGTCCTGAATCAGTGTTCATGATAATGAGACTGTGAGGGTTTTAGGTTAAAACAAACATGCCTAGGTCAGAAATTAAAGATTTACTAGTTTGTACTCCTATCCTGTAAATATTCATTCAGATCTGAAAGGTAACAAATACTGGTGCAGCCCACACTCTCTGTGGAGGGAAGCTGTGGACATTTTCACGAGCCAGAGGTGCACAGGCAACGTGAGAGCTGAAAGTGCCAATACCAGCTCTGTCCCGAATGTTATCGGCGCTCTCAGTTTTATATTCAGACTTTTCCAACATTTACCTGTATTTAAAAAACAAACACAGTAGCCTAGCCTAGTTTGCTTCATAACCCAGAGTAGAAATTTTCACGTAGCAGCATTAGGAAGCTGAAAATATCTGGACTCACTGACCTTTTTGCTTTTCCTGCTTTTCTCTGACTCCTCGTGGGGTCTGACGAGGTCCTGAACACCTTCCTGTGAGCTGTATGAAACGTCGTGCCTTGCTGGTCCATTTTTAACATCTAAAACCCAATAGACTAAAGGTTAGTTAGAGCTTAGGTGGCCTGATTGCTAATGCAACTTACACAAAACAAAAATTAAAAATTATACTTATTTATGCAAATGGTTAACAGAAAACTATAGGCCCTTTAAGTAAATACCACTTATGCCTGGTGCTTTAGATTTGTTTAGATTGTTCGGTTTAATCTGTGCAAACATCCCAAGCAATGGGATAAACCAATGGTCAGATACCATTTTGCCTATTTGGTTAAAATTTGAATAGGATCACATTAGTCCATTTGATAATGCAAGAAAATGTATGCTTGCTCCTTATGCATTATCCAACCTTCAATTCTTAGATTTTAAGATAAGGATAAAAACCAGCTCCTGAGAGAAGGCAGTTTTGTGTCAGAGGCAATACATAATTCAGCCTCAGGTTTGAGATTTTGCAGGAAATAACCTCCAGTACAAGGCTTCAGATTTCAGTCTACAAATGATTACTGATTATGCTCCTTCACATTTCCACCTCAAACCTACTGGACAGTATGATAAAAGCAGATATAGTTAAGTTTTAGAATCTGATAGGAAAACTTTTACTGTTTTCCAAAACAGAGTTCTAGCTAAAGTGAAAAATGCAGAACAACTATGGTCAAGTGTTTTCCTGAATTCAAGCGAGTTGTTATTTGCAACCTGGCCCCCATAAACACTTTAAGGTTGGGTTCTGGGCCAGAAACCAACATTCTTTGCATATGAATCTCCAAACTGCTTCCTTTGGAGACTCAAACCAATCACAGACTGATGTCCCACCTCCTCCACAGTCTTCAGTATGTCACAGAGTCCTAGCCCTGCTACAGCCTGGGGTCGAGGCCACAGTGACCTCAACCAGCTCAGTACAGGCACTGATGGAGCAGGTGGGCCAGGAGGCCATGAACAGCATATCATGTAATTTGCTTCTTACTGTAAGATCTAGCTAAACTCGCTTCTTTGAAGGAAAGATTATCCGTCATTTATGCATTACTTCCTACACTTTCAAGGATCTTTTTCTTTTTAAATGCTTAGAACTCCTAACCTCAAGGGTAGGAGATGAAGAGAACTTATTTTTCATCTTTAAGATCTAAGATGAAAAGTAATTAAATGTTTAGAATTAGTATTAACTAATACTAATTTGTGTATTTGGCTTTTAAAATATAACTAAAGAGTATATAAAAATTAAAACAGTGAACTAAAAGAAATGTTTTCTTGTTACTCAACCATGAGTAAGTTTGCAGTTTACCATGTTTTCAAAAAAGATTTTAGTCACTTGCCTCAGTTCTTGCTACCAATAAAACAGGTTGAAAAGCATTAAACAAAAAACTCTAGAAAATGCATCATAACCTTCTAAAACTTAAGAAAGATGGATATTTTTCAGGATTCCTCAAAGCACACAGGGACAAAATGATGGAAGTAAATGGTTTCTCCGTTATTAAAACATTTTACACATTCTGCTAGTGTAGCGATAGGTTTTCCTTAAGGATGTTAACAGGAAACCAAAGGCAGCTGAGAATGCAAGGGGGTTCTGCAAGCCTAGTGTTGAGCAGGCCGACTTTCCTGCTACCGGTCAGGGCACAGTACACCTCCCATTTCCAGCTCTGCCAGCCGTGAGTGCTGCTTCACATTCACCCCTGAGGTGCTCCTGTTGTCACCGGATCTCCTCTCACCTGGCTGCTTCACATTAAACCACCATTATCAAAGTTCCAATTCCCCATCCCCGGTCCAGATGTGCCAGCTAGGGTATGAATGTCCACAGTTCCAACAACCCACAGAAACAGGTATTATGCCAAAGCCAAGGACTAAGAACACTTCTAAGGCTGATTTAAGAATCCAACATTTTAACATCTAACAAGTATATGATAGTACCCTAATGGGAAATTTCTTCTGAGCTCTAAAATTCAGAATGAATTACTTAATAACACAGAGTGTAAAATCTTAAGACTGTGGAAAGAACCTTAAAAGATACCTGGAAAAACTCCTTTCCATATAAACCTCTGGGGTCCAGGAAAGACACACAGCGGTTCTGCACAAGTGAATCTCAGCTGAGCCTCTGCTCAGACTCATCTGTCAGAATAACAAGTTCGCTTTGTTACCTTGGGGAAAAGGCAAAATTGAGTATGTTCTTCAACAACAAATGTGTAAGATTTTCCCTTATAATTATTGTAGGAACAGCTAAATACGAGTTTCCTAAATATATAAAAGTTTTATATAATTTCCCACGGGAGTTATTTGTATCCTTTGACTTGTTACTTTAATATACATTATTCTGACCATATCTTGCCTACTTGTCTGTTCTCCTTAAGGGAAAGGCTTCCTATTAACATTATGTTGCTGTGTCTATGTGAACCTTGGGACAGAATGCATTACTGGACTGAACGTACCAAGCAGCTGAGCAGCCAACAGTCTTCTCTCCATGAGGCCAGCCTTCCTGTTCAGGCTGCGAAGCCCATGGTGAGCCGGAAGCCTGCCTGCAGTCCTAACGCCCAGTGAGTGGGACGGAGTCTTTCTGGGGTAAGGGCTGAAACATGCTTCCGAACATATTTGTGGATTATGTGAACTGCCAGAAAGTACAATAATTACTCCTCAACTTAAAATACTTAAGGTGCCTGTTGCTACCATTTATACTCCCCCCGAATACCCAAGATATGCAAAGTATCATGTATCAAACAATATAAAGTGTCTATGATTCCCTAAGTTCAGTTCTTATTAAGCTCACACACAACACTTTTAACTGATTCCTCATGCTGCTTTCAATGACACAAAACAGCTGCAAATTCTTATGGCTACAAATCCAATTTAAAATTAAAAGTAATTACTTTAGGATTACAAATACATCTTTTACAATTATGGCAGCATTTTTGCCTGTCATTCTCCACCAGAGTGATCATCTAAGTAAACCCCACCTTAAACCCAGTCGCTCCTCTACACAGACACTAATTAATCCCAGTATTTTTCCTCCAGAGCCTCACCATCCTTCCAGCCTCAGAGCTGTAGGCAGTGACCACAGCAGTCTGAGTCAGCACGGCGACTGGTGCACTGTGATGAAACTTTTTGTGATAATCGCTGTACTACAGTTTGGAAGTTTTGGCAGACTATGTGATAGGAAGTATATGTTAGCTCATCCCTCCCAAAAAGATTCCAGGAGTGATCAACTACCAAGTTAACAGACACCATACTCCAGAAACAGTTCCAGTCTGCAGGCCCAGTACTGAAGTCTTTGCTGCTAAAATGGGTGAGAGAAATGAGCTGAAACTAGTAACATCAGCAGCTAGGTTATCAGCATGTCAGTATCTCACTGGTTATATTCACAAACTCAAGGATGGATTCACTTACACACTACAGGGACATCCCCTACCCAACACGTGAACAGGGCATGCAAACCTAGAATGGGCAGAAGCTCATACCCCAGGGATTGACATCCAATGGCTATATAGATAAAATGCACGGTCACAGGATATTTAGTAGCCTGAAGCTAACGATGTTTACAGAAATTGCCCCAAGAACATCATCTGCCTTCCATTGCAACTTTTCATATAAGGTAAGGCAGACAACGAAGGGACGGACTGGGACTTCAGTATCTATTCTATCTGCTTGCCAACTTTTTTGTTCAGTAAATGTCTGTGTCTGAATCTTGGCTCCACAAAGGCCTAGTAGACAGTGTGGGTAGAACAGCTACCTTCCCCTCCAGTAGTTGGTGACAACTGTCTGAAAGAGAACCTAATGGTTAGCTTTCCCATCACAGAGATAATACCCAACACCCACAACTTAAAGGTTTAATTTGGCTCACGGTTTCATGGGATTCAGTCCATGGTAAGTTGCCTCCAAGGAAAAACATCATGGCAGAGCAGAGGTGCTTATTTCAGAGACAGGAGGGAAACAACACCAGAGGCGACAGGACCAAGAACCAGACATAGCACACAAGGAGATGCCTCCATGACCTACCAAAACACACCCAAAGCATACTTTTACTAATCTGCTAGGCTTTTCTTAACCCAATCAAGCTGATGGACCTCATGATCAATGGTCACATAGTCTGGACATGTCCACATTGTTTAAAGAAGCAAACATGGATGTGTAAAATGCTGACAGGTAAAATCTCATCACACTGAAGAAAATCTGCATTAACATGTTCACAATGGGGCCATAGTTCATATGTCTTGCTGCTGGGAGGCTTGACCTACCAGTAGTACATACATGACTGTCCCATTGGGCAGCTTAATTTTACTAGTAAAAAGATGAAAAAAAGTAATTAGATCTGTTCATACCACCAGTGGTACCAGCCGTCGGATGGGACAGTCATGCACACACCACCAGTGGTTCAACTTGGCAGGAATGTATTAAACCAATGGATGACAGTGGGGTGTAGAAAGGTCCTGTTTCCACTGGTGGTCACATGGCTCCTGGGAAACCCTCTCTTCCTCTTTATGAGTGATAGGCAACTGGACCCCCAGGCATCTCAAGATGATAACTGGTTTTATCCATGTGGTGGTTCAAAGTGACACCAGGTGGTTTACGAGCTGCAGCCAGCAGTGTCGGAATCGGAAAGGGGTCATTTCAATAACACCAAAGTGCTTTATTCCTGTCGAAAGTCACAAAAACAAGGTCTCCATTCCCATGCACATTTGCTGTGAACATTTTTCCTGAGCTCAGACTGTTTCCAGCAGCATCTCCAGGGCTGACACAAGAGCAAAGGGAGTTTCGTAATTTAAAATCCCTGTTTGCAAAATGAAACAGCTTCCATTTAGCCCCCAATTGCAATGACCAATTTACACACTGAAAGGCAGCTCAAATCCAACAGAATTCTGTAAATATCTTCCTAAGGAATGAGTATGATGAGGAACCTCTGCTTATGGACTGCTATCAGGATGTGACATTATGTGAAAAGGCACTGTCGGAGGGAAATACATAAAATCTCAAGAACACTTAATTTGACCCTCAATTAAATGAAATGCAATTTTCCCTTTCCTCCAAGAATTCTATTCTTCTCAGTGGTAGACCTGCATTACAAAAAATTTACTCAATTTTGAGTTGCATCAATATATATTTTGTGAAAGTGTCTTTCTCTCCTAACACTTAATTATCTAAACAAGTACCTATATACCTTGATTTGGCCCATAAACTCAAGCATTTACTGACAGAACATTACAGAAATAGGCTATGCTAAAAAATGAAGTAAATATATCAGAAATGGTAAGTAACAAATGTGAAGGCACTAAAGTGAGGTAACTCCATGTGTGCACAAGCATCCTGTAAACTCTAGTTGCACCTGTGTGTGTCCACACTCCCAGATGTCTGGAAAGAAACACTGCTGTGATTGCCTCCAGTGACAAACACCTAAACCACAGTTTGCCCTCCAAAGTATCCAGGGTTACACTTAACAAATCTGATTTGGTCTCCCTGTGTTCCAATTCCGAGTGGCTTCTGAACACACTGGAAAACCAATTAAAACAAGCCGTACCTCAGTGGGGACAGGAGGCACTGATGAGGCACTCCTGCCGCCTCTCCGCTCTCTTCCCACCCTCCTTCTGCTCCCAGGCTTGCTGGGGCACTGGCCTCCTCGTTCCTGCAGGCTTCTGTCTACTTCAGGACACCTACACACGCCTGACCTTGAGCTGAAGTGTGATTTCAGCACCGGTCACAGGCCCCTCCTCTATAATGTCACCTCCTTCCCTTTGCCTTTGTCCTTCCATACTTGCTGCTCCCCAGCTGACCACCTGATGTGAGCATTTGCTCCGTACCTGCCCCAGGAATGCACCTCAGGGGCAGGGGGCAGCATGAAGGGTGCTGTTTCCCTGCGACCTCCCTACCGACCAGAAGGGCACCGAGTGCGGACATGTGTACTCCTTCACAGCTGTTAACTATTGAAAGACAAGTGGTAAGGACTATGAGGAGGAAAACTTTATTGTTTTAACAGTCTTTGTTACAATGGGAATGTACTTGAGTACTGCTTATAAAATTGGGAATAAAAATGAAAAAAGGAAAAAAATATATATTTCCAGATTATTTTAAGAAATTAAGTCTTCCTCCATTCCTGTTGTTAATGTTTATTACTGAATCTCTTCTGCAGACCTTTGTTACACACTGTCTTGGCGACAACAGCAACAACTGCAAGTGCGCTGAAAACAGACATCGGGAGACTTTTATTCCAACAGGAAAGAGTGGAGAGGTCCAGCTGGATAGAAAGTAGTCTTCTGTGCCCCACATCTCTGCTGGGTAGGGCATGTCCACAGAGACTGAAGGCTTTCTAGTTTCTCTAGGGTAGATCTGCTGAGTCCCAGGGCACAATTTCAAACATCAGTGAAAGGGTTATGTTCAGGCGAGGCAACGAGAGTCTCACACCAGGCTCCAGTGAACTTCTGCCTCTCCGGGACAAAGTGAACTAAGGCAGATGGCTGCAGAAGATGTCCTGTGTCAGGGCGGACGGAAGCTTCTACCCGAGCCACACCAAGTCACACCCGGATGGCTCACTCTGCCACAGGACCTCCAAAGGCTTCTCATCTCCTCCAGGTCCCAGGGAGCCCACAGCGCTGCCCTGCTTCCTCTTCTGTTTAGCCAGAGGCTCGGGCTGTGGACACAGAGGCGGGAACTGCAGCTGCCTCGGGACTATCACACGCCAGAGGACACCAGGGCCAAAATGTGCCGCACCAGGGGAGACCAGGCTTCCCCCCTGAATGTTCATGCCATCGTAAGCTTAAATGCACTGGAGAAAACTGAGAACGGGGCCGGGGACTTAGCTCAGTGGTTTTGACGCCTGCTGCGCAAGCACAAGGACCCGAGTTCGAGCCCCGGTACCAAAACAAAAAAATCTCAGGGTGTTCTGAACTATGAAAACAATTCTACATACTGTGTAATACTTCAGAATCACCAAGATTTTATAAATATTTTTAAAACACATTAAGCCTAATGCAACATAGTTTCTTGTAGATTTAAATATACATTCAGAAAGCTAATATATAAAAAGTAGGCTTAAAATATAAAAAATTGTTTTAATTCTTTTTGTGAGATAATTTTGGGGAGTTTATGCTCAAGGAAAAGATATGTAAGACATCTGCAGTTATTTTAACCCCAATGACTTCTCTATCTTGACCATGCCGGTTAAAATCATTTGAAGAGTAGAGAAAGTTGGTCCTATTCATTTTTTTGTTTGTTTTGGCAGTATTTGGGATTGAACCTAGACCTTCACACTGAGCTACAGCCCCGGCCCATTTAAAAATTATTTACAATATTTATTTTTTGAGACAAGGTCTCACTAAGTCCCTAAGGCAGGGCTCAAACCTTTGATCCTCCTGCCTGGCCTCCAGAGTGCTGAGATTACAGGCAGCCTGACCACACCCAGCTGTTATTCAAATTTTAACCAAATCTTCAGGGAAACATGGTCACAGCTCAAGATTTCTTTAACTTTGCTAGAACCTAAGTGCACAATGTTTTATATTATCGCTACTTTTGGTACAATTACTAAAATTATATAGTTCGTTATTATATGTTCAATAAATAAGTCACTATAATACGCACAATTAAAGATAGGAATAAAATCAATTAAATAATATGCTTAAAGCAAATAAGTAGAAGTCAAACAAGTACTGTCAAAAATGAACTTTCTACTGGAGGAAAATGCTTTATAAATATTTCCTCATATTTAACATTACCTGGAGTTTTTTCAAAAATTATTGATAACAAAATATGTCAAAATTTCAAGATTTACTTTTTCATACCTCCTCTTTCTAGGAATAATCAATGGCTTATGCTATCTTAATTTCTCTCTAAAGACGCAATCTCACTAGCATGATGCCAGGTCTGACAGGTCCTACCAGTGGCTCCCCACACACGGCCACGCCACGAGGGACTGCACTGGCTAGGAAAAGTACTCCTTCTGGGCCACTGTTCGGAGGTACTGCCGACTCTTCTGACCTAAACACTGAGAGGTCGAGGGGGAAATGTATTCCTAACGACAGACTTGACCAACAAGCCCAGAAGCCTCACAGGTGACAAGCTATCTACCCTTAAAGAATTTATCTTTGGGAAATATCAAACACACATTTAAAAAAAATAAAAAGTGTTAAGGGAAGGAAAATACATTATGAAGAAGTTGTGATGCATTTAAAGTGCGGATCGCTATGATGTGTTTGTGTAACAGAGACACTGGGAAAAGGAGATTGACATACATCCACTGTATCCCAGGGCTAGGTTTTCTTTTTCTTCCTCTGCAGATTGCTCCTCATGAGGGTCACCTCCAAAGTGCAGCTCGAACTCCTTCTGTGTGTGCCTCCCAGGGGAGTTGGGCACTGCAGCTTCAGGGCCCTCTTTCTGGGTGCCTCTCCCGCCAACTAGTTCTCTCTCTGCTCTCCTGCCCTGCACGGGGGAGCAGCTGCTCTCCTGCCCTGGACCGGCAGGGTCGTGGGTGTTGTGGGGATGGTGACTTCCTGTGGGGCCTGCATCGTCTCCCTGGGGACTCCCAGCCCGACCGCGGCATCCTGGGCTTTCCTCAGCAGCAGGTGTGTCCTCCGCAGCCAGGCACGCAGGGCTCTGGAGGCTGGAGGTAGTTTTTGCTGTCAAATCGGTGATACTGACCAGTGTGGATTTTTCCCCAATGCAGGAGAGGTCAGACATTTCTAGGATGCTCGCTCTCTCCCTCTTGGAAAGACTTCTGCAGCTGAAGTGAGCAGGGCCTGGCGATGGCCGAGACACAGGAGGGTGGCCCGCTGAGGTCCTCTCCTGGAGGTTCTCGGGGGAGAAGTAATCCTCATAAGAGGACACCCCACAGTCAGGAGTGCCCATGACGGCTGAGGTGGGGAACCGCAGGCTTCTGCTAGATCTAAGCTGCTGCTCCCAGGGGCCCACAGGCCTCTGGCCGCTCCTCCTCCTCTTCAGTGTTGACCTTGGAGGTGAACACAGGTCCACGGATGTCCTTTTTCCCTTTGCTGAGGAGCTCCCGGGCACTGAATGCAGCCAGAGATGCCCTCTGGCTGCAGATGTTGCAGGAGGACTGCTTTTCACCTCATGCAGGTCAGATACCCCTTGGGCCTGTCTTCTGTCTGGCGTGACAGTTTCACCACCTAGGTCTCTCAGCCGACCGACCTCTGCCTTTGGAAGATCGCTCGCGCATTTCTGGGGACTTAACTCGCTGAGGCAGCTGGATGATGCCAGTGGATGAATATTACTGGTTTTCAGTACAGGGGAGGAGCTGCACGTGTCACTTTTAATTTCCTTAACAGAATCTCCCAATTTCCTGTCCTGATTTCCACATCCTGATCTTCCACAGAGATCACCCAAAGATGAGTACAAACCACCAGCAAAGGATTCATCTGGAAATATTAATAAAGAGTTAACTTTAAAATGGTTTAAATTATAAACAGAATTTTCAGTTGACCGAGAAAATAACTTTTGTTTTTTTGCCTTACCAGGACCAAAATCAGGAGCTAGCGCTTGACAGGCAAGCGAAGTGCCGTAGAGCTAAATCCCCAGCCCAGAATAAGACTTTTTTTTTGGTACCGGGGATCAAACTCAGGACCTTGTGCTTGTGAGGGAGGCGGCAGAACCACTGAGCTAAATCCCTGTTCTCAAAATCAGACTTTTTAAGCACAGAAGTACCCAACCAAAAAAGAGGACTACGGGCCAATCTCCCTAATGAGCATAGATGCAAAAATCATCAATAAGATACTGGGAAACAGAATGCAGCAAATCATCAAGAGGATCATATACCACAACCATGCAGGATTCATCCCAGGGATGCAGGGATGGATCAACATACACAAACCAATAAATGTAATACACTATATTAACAGAGCCAAGGACAGAAACCACATGATCATCTCAATAGATGCAGAAAAAGCATTCGACAAAATCTAACGCCCATTCATGATAAAAACCCTACAGAAAATTGGAGTAGATGGTCTTTATCTCAATCTGATAAAAGCCATCTATAACAAACCAACAGCCAATATCATACTAAACCGTCAAAACCTGAAAGCTTTCACTCCAAAATCAAGAACAAGAGCAGGATGTCCACTGTTATCTCTCTTATTCAATATAGTTCTGGAAACATTAGCCAGAGCAATTAGACAAGAGAAAAATAAAAGGAAGAAGTTAAATTATCATTATTTGCAGCTGACATGATATTCTACATAGAAAACCCCAAAAACTCCATTGAAAGACTTGTAGATTTAATAACCAAATTCAGTAACATAGCTGGATACAAAGTAAACAGTCAAAAATCCAACAGCATTTCCATACACAAATAACAAACTCACTAAGAAAGAAATTAGGGAAACAACACCTTTCACAACAGCATCCAAAAAGAAAAAAAAAATACCTAGGCATCAATCTAATGAAGGAAGTAAAAGACCTCTACACTGAAAACTAGTACTCTGAAAAAGGAGACAGAAGAGGATATCAGAGAATGTAAAGATATCTATCCCTTGTTCTTGGGCAGGAAGAACCAATATAGGGAAAAAGGCCATACTTTCAAAATCGTTATATAGATTTAATGCAATCCCCATCAAAATTCCAACAACATAACTCACACAATTAGAGAAAACAATCCTAAAATTCATTTGGAACCAGAATAGATCTAGAATAGCAAAGGCAATTCTGGGCAACAAAGGTAAGGCAGGGGGCATCACAATCCCTGACTTGAAATTATACTACAGAGCTACTGTGATAAAAACAGCATGGTACTGGCAAAAAAAGACCTGAGGATCAATGGAATAGTCTAGAAGGTGCAGAAACAACTCCAGACACACTCAGCCACCTCATCTTTGACAAAGGAGCCAAACACATGCACTGGAAAAAAGACAGCCTCTCCTGTAAGTGCTGTTGGAAAAATTGGCTTTCCACATGATAAAGACTAAAATTAGTTACATATGTCTCCCCATGCACTAAACTAAAATGCAAATGGATCAAAGATCTAAATATTAAAACAGAAACACTAAATCTGCTGAAGAGAGAATAGGTAGACTCTTGAGGACTCAGGTGTAGGCAAAGACTTCATGAACAAAACTCCGATCACATGCGAAACAATACAAAGAATCATCAACTGGGATCTCGTCCTACTAAAAAGCTTTAGCATAGCAAATCACCAGCAGAGTGAATAGACAACCTACAGAGTGGGAAAAAATTGTAGCCAGTAGTAGTCCCTCAGGCAAAGGACTAATAGAACATACAAAGAATTGAAAAAATCAGACACCCAGAATTTAAAGACCCAATCAAAAAATGGGCATCTGAAATGAACAGATACTTCTCAGATGAAGAAGTACAAATGGCAAATAAACATAGGAAAAAATGTTCAACATCACTGGTCATTCGAGAGATGAAAATTAAAACAACGCTGAGATTCCACCTCACCCCAAAAAGAATGGCTGCTATCATGAAATCCACCACCAACAAATGCTGGCGGGGCTGTGGGAAAAAGGGAACCCTTCTCCACTGCTGGTGGGGGGTGCAGACTGGTGCAACCACTGCGGAAATCAGTATGGAGATACCTCAAAGAACTAGGATTAGAGGTCCCATTTGACCCAGCTATTCCCCTGCTGGATATATTCCCCAAAGAATTAAAAGCACCATACCACAGCGATATATGCCCAACCATGTTTATAGTGACACCATTTGTAATATCTAAAGCTTGGAAATAACCCTAATGCCCATCCACCAATGAATGGATAAAAAAAAAGATGTGGTTTTTCTCTACACAATGGAGTATTACTCAGCTATAAAGGATCAACTTGAAACATTTAGAGCTAAATGGATGTACCTTGAAGCTGTACCCTTAAGTGAAATAAATTGGACACATGTGTAAATATTGCATTGTCTCTTCACTGTAAGAAACAAAGTGTAAATAGGGACCAAAATGTATAATGTGAAATAGGAAAAATTGTTTAAAAGGAAAGGGTAATGGGGTGGGGGGGGTATGAGAAAAGAAGGAAAAAATGGAAACAGGGCTTTTGAAAATAGGGAATGGAAGAGGGGTTGAAAGGAGAGGAAAGGAATGGGAAAAAAAAGAGAGATCAAAACACATCACGTACAGGTACAAATTCCCTATGATTTACGTGATCATTACATATATCTAAATTGTACCAATACAATTAAAATTAAAAAAAAAAGAAGACTACTGATCCAATTCTGGTTCTTCTCATTTCCTTTTAGGGCCATCTTTAAAGCCAGTAGTTTCATTTCAACCAGGGAATGTGGGCTTCTACACAGTATGGAGAAGCTCTAAGAGCTTTAAGCATATCTTCATATGCATGTGCACTTTTTTCTATAGCTTTTCACCAAATTCTCCAGGAAGTCAGGTACCTAAGATGTTAAGAACTACAGCCATATGATCTGGGTTGAGCTCTAGTCTTCCACAAAACATCCCCCTAATTAGTACAGCTCATCTTTACCTCCCCAATCCTGTAATTAAATCCTTATACTATACTTATATTAAAAAGTGAACCACGAGGGAAACTTAACTTTCTGCCCTGCCATGCTGCTTACACTTTCCTTGAGAGCAAGACTAAGCTGCTACCCAGCTCCAGAAATGCCCATGCTCGTCTGCCTCTGCTCATGCTCCAACACCACTTGGAGGTCAGCACCCTGTGTGTCAGCCACACCCGTCCTAGTAAGGGGGACAGGTGCCCAGCCAGCGGGGTCATCTTGCTAGAGAACACATGCACCTTTCTTCATCTGATGACATTGGCTCAGGGTGGGCCCTGCCTTTGAGAAACCACACAACTGGAGGCAATGCAGGTGTGATTCCTTTGAACTCACTGAACTGCTCCCTTACAAAGGAGAACAGGGCAATCACAGAAGCCCTTCCCTTGAAGCTATGCTCTGGGAACGCAAGGAGGCCCAGCAGCCGGGCATGCAGTGCCTCTGCCAGTGCATCTTTGGGGTCCAGGTTTCTGTCTTAGCAGCTGACTGTTCATCATACTTTGGAAAGAGACACACACAGTGACACCTCCTGACGAGGGGAGACTGCAGCCAGACTAAGTCAAAACCCCGCACTTGGCACCCATAAGCCTGCGAGCCTGTGCAAGCCGGGGCCTCTCTGTGTCCTGACATTTTCTCTACAAAATGGGGCTGGTGGCGGCGCCTACGCCTCGGGCTAATGGGAGAATTAAACGGGCTGCAGGAAGCAAGGCTCAGACCAGGGCGGGCACATGGGGACAATGAAGTCAGCATTAGCTGTTACCGTTTGTTTCCAGCCTACAGGAACACAATGGGACCTTGGTCCATGAACTTCATTTGTCTACAGTTTTGGAAGACAGCCACACTCCTGTTTGTCCCCTGATGCAGAGTTTGCAAACAAAAACAAAATTTTGCCAAAAGCTTCTGTTTGTGAACCAAATTGTTTACAAACAAGCATTTGTGAACCGATACACCACTGTAAATGTATAAGCATAAAAAACATTACTTAAATGGGTAAATAACCCGAACAGGCACAGAAGAAATAGGAAAAATTAACAATGCATTATGGTGGCACATGCCTGTGATTTGAGCATTTCGAAGGCTGAGGCAGGAAGGTCTCAAGTTTGAAGTCAGCCTGGAATATACAGCAAGTTCAAATCCAACCTGGATTCTACAGCAAGACCCTTTCTCAACAAAACGAAATGAAACAGAATCAACAGTGCACTGAGAGAAAACCTGGGTTTAACCTCTGCCATCGAGACCCTGTGCATTATCGCTGCTGCTGCTTTCCTGGCAAGGTATCCCACAGCCCACGTACCTCTGAACACAGTTCTCTCGCGCCACTGCTGGCTCAGAAAATGGACAAGGAACCCGAAATAACCATTGGCAAATGATAACTCTGAGATCTTCTCACCACAAGTCAATCTGGGGCCCCACAGTACAAACACAAGCATGTGTGCACTCCAGAGGTCTGTTCTTCATACGCTGTGTGAGGCAACATTTACTCAGCCCTGGCTGCTCCCTGTTCTACTGTGTAAAGTGCACACAGAGGGGTTCACATGAGGTCATGAGAATTCTAAAAAGTGAGCAATTAATTCCACAGCGAGAAAGCAAATGCCCAGGAGGAGAACCACAGGGTCGAAGGGGAGACAGAACTCAGGAACTTTTCATGCGTCCATTCTATTACAGTACAGGGTTCAGAAAAAAATCTTGGTGTTCTAGTTTTACCCAGTTGTTCAAATCATCAGAAATAACACGAAATTCTAGGTAAAACAATCATTCAATTCTGTATCGTAAATGTAACACAAGGAAAATAGTAATTTTACCTGCACACACAGTATCCCGGGAAATGTCCAAAGACGCCTCACACAGAGAGTCGCTGGGGCTTCTGTGAGCCTGCTCAGTCCTCTGGGAAGCTGACAAGAGAATCAGAACATGTCACAAGCCTCAGTGCTTTCTAGAGCGTGACGCAGCAGTGCTGGAGCCTGGACCTGGGCCCTTCCTGTGAGCTTGATCCCCAGCCCCTTTAAACTGCTTATTTGGAGACAGGGTTTCCCTGGCCTTACACAACATATACGCCGAACTAACGGACATCTTCCTGCTGCATATTCTAGACTAAACAGGAAACAATAAGAATAAAGGAAAATTTTAGGACAATCTATTACATATAAAGTCATAAAATACCTCTACTAATCATATTACTTAAAAATCATTAAATGACAGATCCATGAAAGTTATATGGGATCTTGAAAAGCTAACCTGCCTGAATCTAGTCAAAGCTTAAGAAAGGTAAACGGATGTTTTCTGCTTGTCCTCCCGCTTGATAACCTGGTTCTTTCTTCAAGGAACCCCTTCTAGTCACCTTTGTAACCAGAGCAGCGGTGCCCAGCCAGGGGCGATGTGGATCCCCAGCAGGAATATGGTAACGTCTGGAGACATTTTGGGGTGTCACAAGGGATAGATGGTGAGGTATGGTATTGATACAGAGTCCCCACAACAAGGAATTATCCAGCCCAAATGCCAATAGCGCTGAGGGTGAGAAACCCTAGAGGTCTCACAGAAAATATCCCGACATTTAGCAACGATGTTAACAAGCAAGGCTGCAAACGTTATCTTTAAACATGATGCATGCGACACATAGGAAACAAAAGACATTTTTTGTGATCACATACCCAAAGATATTTTTTTTAAAGACTCAAAAGGAAACCTTTCTGAGACAGCTTGATCAAACAACTGTAAAAGCAGAATAAATGTAGGCAAAGAAGGCAAGCACAGGCTGCTAAGTTTGTAACTGCTGAATGTAGTTAAGTGGGAAGCAACGGGGTCATGAGTTGAAGGTACACTAGTTCACGTGCAGAACGATGTCAAAACTGCAATTCCAGCTGGGACAAAGATGGATTCTCTGAGACCCATTCTAGCAGCTCTCTCTTAACAACAGGACTCAGACTGCATTTACTCCTGCTGGCTACCAGGGGAGACTTGTGACTAGGCCCAGGCCTGACATGAGGGCGGAATACGGACAAGAAGTCGGGGAGACTGTTAGAGGGGATGGCTGGGCAGGAGGCACACACGCTCAGCAACGGAAGCCAGGCTGCAAGTAAAACACGAAGATGGGGCCTAGATTCTTAGAAATACCTTGAACAGCCAGCCTGGCCCTGGCTGCCATTTCTGGACTTAATATACAGAGAAATGCAATCTTACCTAAGTTAAGTCACCAGTTTTTCTATTATTACATGCAGCTAAAACTAACAGCTGATACAGTGTCCATGTGTATCATATAAGATATAAATGCAAGATAGATTATGCTGCCTTAAAAAAAGCCCTTGCAAATCAGAAAGAAATGAAAAACAATAGGCAGATGGACAAAGACACAAAATTCAGAGACAAGTGTTGATAATAAGTTATACTCAGCAAGTCACAATCATACAGAAAGATATTCAACTTCACTAATAATTGAAGCAAATTAAATTTAGACTTTTTCAATATTCAGATTTCTTTCAAACTGAAAAAGGACTCAAGGCTAATGCCCTTGAGTTTTCTAAGTATGGAAAAATTGGGATTTTTATAAACAATCAATGAAGGGCATCTATGGGTCAAATTTTTTGAAGGGTACTTTGTACATCAAAACGTCTAAATGTCTTTATGAATTAATATTTAAACACAAGAAGTACGCAGAAATATAAGGGTGTATGGCAGAGGCATGTAGGGGTAATAATAGTAAGAAGTAGGGAAAAGGTTAAATAAAAATGCAAACTCCAGGATCCAATTTAAGTAAAAAAAAATGCACCTCCACACAGAAACCCAATCTCTACCATTTCTACACACACAAAGTGACATGATACTCTGCAGAAGTTCTGGAAGACAAGTTAAAATAGAGGTCACCTCCACCCACACTGCAGGGGAAAAGAACTGCTGTGGGAACCAAGATGGAGTTACTATTAGTTGTACTGTTAGATGTTCAATTACTAGTTAAGTAGTTAAAAACATTAAAATAAAGAACTCATGAACTGATACACTGTATGCACTAATCCAGAGTAACTTCTTTCAAAAGGAAAAGAAAATATTCCAGTGATATTAAAAATGAAAAGGAGCTCTGACAAGGAGGATTTAAACCTGGAGAATACTATATATCCCAATATAAAAAATCTTAACGAAGTGTACAATTTTCTAGAAGAAATATTAGTGAGGTCTTCATTGAAATGCCAAGAAACAATAAAAATATCTAGGAAAAGAAAAAAATTTACACTATAATTCCTTCACGTATTTGCATAATTTTCATTTTACATACTGATCACTCACAGGTAGGGGAAAGCTGTTCCCTCTTCTCCTTCATCTCCTGTAACCTCTGCTCCATTGCCTGGTGGTGACTAATTTTAACTGAGGAACTAGACGTCAATGAGCCATGAGATTCAAATAAGAAAACAGGCATGCTGTCATCTGAAAAGACAAAATTCAACTTCAAGCTCCAGAAAACATTTCAAGTCTCTCAGCATGACTTCCTTCGGGACACGGAGCCCACAGCCTTCCACCGCCACTGCTGCTGCCCGCACTTCCCCAGACATCTCCCCTGACCGTACTGGACTCATCGTCCTACCAGGAGCCAATGAGGACACCAGGCACAGAAGTTACATGACTAGCAGGAAGCTGCAGAGCCAGGACGCGTGGTGGCTCGCTGATGTGACAGTAACCCAGGTGTCAGCTCACCCCCACCCACTGCTCACGGCCAGATGCACGCCCACGCCACACGCGACCCACTGCATGACGGGCTGGGCATTTCTCCACATCCTCAAAAAACGACATTATCTACAATTTGTCTATTTCAGGTAACAAAACAAAAAGACCAAGTAGGAACGCAGTCAGGATGAACACAGTCAAGAAATACCTCAGGATTTATCTCAGTAAGGCTGATCACAGACTGCTTTTCCTCCTTGGTCACTCCTAACAGTAGAGAGTCTGTGCAGCCCCACAGGGCTCCTCTTTAAGTGTCTGCGGCCACCTCCGCTGTTCTCCTTCCGGCCCAACCCAGGCCGCCTCCCTTCACCATCTGGACCACAGCCCCCAGGCCCACCGAGGAAGACCTAATCACAAGTGCAGAGGGCCAGTGTGCAAGGCTATACTTTCAGGGATCGTTTCTGTAGTTCATTACTAGAGAAGTTTCTCTGATCGTATAGAGCACCAAAGGGCAAGTGTGCTGCCACCCTTACCTAGGGTTGTCTTTTGTCTCTGAAGCTCTTCAGTCATTTTCTCAAATTTCCTTTGAAGTCTTTTATCATTTTCTGGTGTTTTAGGAATAAAATCTTTGGGTTGCATGCACTTACGCTGTGCAGACAGGATATAAAAATTAATAATGCTGCAATAAAAAACCCTTTTTCATACATTTCTGATACTTTTATAACAATAATAAAGAGTGTTTTTTGCACTATTTATGAACTGATAGCATTTCTTTTTGTGCCTTTTTTTTTTGCGCCATTTTTTAAAAAGTGGAATTCGAAGATTAAATAAAAGGCCGTGTGCTAAGTCACTGTCCTCTAAGACATTTTTCAGGATACCACCATCCTTAGTCTCCACAGAAGACCTAGGAACTAGCCTTTTTACCATTTCTGGCTATTGTCACATCATCTGCCCTCCAAAATCATGACATAAGTAATGAAATACAAAAGCAATGATCTCAGAATTACCGAAGGAAAGAGCCACTGTTAGTCACAGCTTCTTGCTCCTCAGTCAGAGCAGCCCCACTCACCCCACACACGAACTGCCCAAAGCCCTTGCAGCCTGGGCTATGCCCGGGGCAGTCCTGGTTGGTCACAAGCCACAGAGAAGAGAGGAAGCCACTCCGCTGAGACACCCACTCCCTCCGGCGCCGCCAGTCTGCTTCTCCTTGCTGGCTGGCGTCACCATGCTCGCCAACTCTACCGTGTGCACCCAGCAGGGCCCCAAAGAAGTCTGTGTTCTGCTGCGTGCTCTCTGCGTTTAGGGTGAAGCGACAGTCCAACGTGCTTCTCTGGGCTCCAGTCTAACTTCTTAAGGACAGGGCTTCTTCTCGCCTTTCTGACTATGCCCAGGCTGTGTTCTTCACTCAGAACACCAGGCCCTCCCTGCCCGTGCCCCGTTAACAAAGGCTATCATGTGACAGGCCTTCATCTTGCAACTTGCCTGGCGCCTGGCCATTATGCAGCTGGTCCTCTAGCTTTACTATGGACCCAACACGCTGAATTTTGAAGTAAGCGCAAAAGCAGCTGAAGGCCAACCAGTCTCTTCCATGCCTTACAAATGACATCAATGCAGGGATGGCGAACCTTTGAGAGCTTTCAATGATAACAAACAGCCCGCTGTGGCATGCGTACCATATGTTCACCACCATGGGGCTGAAGAAATCTTCAGTTATCTAAAAATACCTGCAAAGAACTATATGACAATCGGTATATATACCTCTTGAAAAATATTCTAAAATGATTTTCTAGGAATTAAAAGAAGCTAATAAATAACTGTCGCTGCCTGCGTACTCACCCTTTTCCTCATCAGGCTCACTGTGTGCTCACTGGGGTTAGTTGCGGGGAATAAGGCCTCGTCAGCATGCACACCAGCTGTCCTGCACCTGCGTAGGCAAGGTGAAGAGTCTGGTAAGCTTTGGTCTCTGCCCAACTCACCCGGAGTCAGACCTGCACATCCATCAGTGGCACTTTAGGAAATCCCTGAGGAGATCATTTTAACAGATATTCCTTTTTAAAATACATGTATTTGACCCCAAATGCAAAAGTCAACGTAAACTTTCCCAAATCTTTTCCATATGGAGTTTTTAAGTATAAGAGCAGAAGAGAAAGACAGGTAGGGAAGTACCATTTTTATGCAACAATTTTAGATTTGTACTTCAAAACTACCAGTGCATCTACTTACAAAGGCGAAATCAGATGCTATTAGATATATATATATATATAAAGTGAGAGTAAACAGGCCATCACATGGGCAAGTCAGAGCCAGGAGGGACCTAGTGAAATTAAAGCCGGAGACTGTCGTTCTTCCAGACTCGGGCGTGGCTTTGTGTATCCCCATCAGGTGCGCGCCCCTCTCCACACCTGTGTCCTCACACCTGCCAGATCTCCTCTGCTGGCACCACTCCCCCTTCAGTCTTGGGGCCTCCCATCATTACCTCCTGTCAAGCATTCAGCCACTGAAATCTAAACATTGCACTCATTTTCCAAATTATCTCCTGCCTCTGGTTTCTCCTCTTCCATTTCACTCATATATTACTGAAATATTACTCTCAGAACATTTTAGTCATCTCTCCCCACTGGTCAAAACCCTTCCATCACTCCCATGACTACAGAAAAAACTCACACATCTGCTGTTTTTATGATATGGATTCTAACCACATTTCCCACTATCTTTCATAATCCTACCACTGCACAACATCTAATATGTAAACACAGATTTGGAAAACATTACAACACAGTGCAATGAAAATTCATATTGATACTGAAAGGTCTCTAAGACATGTAATGGATGAAAAGGAAGTTTTGGAAACTCACATGTATGATCCAGCATGTTCTATGCAGCCTGGTAACTGACAACAGTGGGCATTGCTGGGACAAATCTACATTGCTCAGAAAAGCCCTGGCATCCCTGCCACCCTTCCGAGATTGTGCGACACCAAAGCTATTTTCCTAACAAGACAAATCCATCTTTTCCCTTTCTACGGGTACACATGATGTATATGGAAACCAAGAGGTGTGTGCTACCCTAAAACCTTCAGGAAGAGGCAGATGTGAAAGTGCAGATGTTATCCAGGAAGGTGGCACAGCAGAAATGTGCAAACCTGCAGTCAAACAGCAGTAACTGCAGTAAGAGAAGAGCAAGCAGGCAGGGCCGGGCCAAGGGGAGCACACCAGGTGCCAGTGGTGTCTTGGCTCTGGCAGACAGGGTCTGGGAGCACAGGACTGCGCTAGACACAGGGCAGAGCACCTTGGTCCAAGCAGTGGTGCTGCGTGAATAACGCCTGAATGACAGAGTGAAGGAACAGCAAGCAGCAGGACTTCCTGAGGGTCTATGCCAGGGCCAGTGAGGAGCAGGACCCCTGGCAGGCCCCAGCTAGGAAAGATGTGAGGGAGGGGCAGGACGGGCCAAGGTGGGAGACTGTCCTGGGGACGGCATGACTGATGGGAGACACAGAGTTCAGCAGGGCTGTGGGGTGGGGAGGGGACTGAGCAATACTTAGGTAATAAAAACAGAAAGTCCTTGACCTCTGGTTAAATCTGGTAGAATAAACAAGTGATTTTCCTTGTTCCTCAAAACCCCAATAAAATGACAGTGAAGGAAAACAAAATGACATAAACCAATAAAAGTAAGGACTTGATAAGAGCTATCTAGGGAATGGAAAGCAAACAAATAAAAAGGAAACCCCAGTGTAGCTGGGAGGCAGGGAAGAGTCCACAGGAAGCCTCAGGCCAGAAGCCTCCAGCCCCGGTGGGGGTGCTCAGGTGTGGAGATGCACAGGATGTGACAGCAGGGAGCCCCTCATCTGCCACCAGGGCACCGCCAGGGCTGTGCCAGGCAGCGTGCCAGTGTTAGCCAACTGGACCCCACAGCTCTGGCTGCAGGACAACCGTCTTCACTGCAGCCTTGCAGTCTGGTGCTCCTTAGGATGTGTACATGCAATCCACAGGGTGGCACGGAATTTGACCAGAGAAAGAAAGGAAGATCTGCTCACATGACAACACAAATGGCCCCTACTAAGAAGCCAGCACAAAGGCAACAAATCGCATCCAACTCCATTTGTAGGAAATGTCCAGAAGAGGAAAGTCCTGAGACAGAGCAGACAGGCAGTCACCTGGCCTGGGAACATGGGGTGTGATGGCTGAAGGGTACAAGGCCCTGAGGTGAGGAAACTGTTTTAAAGTTGTAGAGATAGCTGCATAACTCTATGAGTATGTTTAAAACCAGGAATCTCCTACTTGAAGTGGGAAAATGGTATGGTGTGCAATTAGATCTTAAAACACTTAGAAAAAGAGAAAACCCCTACATCCTCACTCAAAAAGCTCAAAGTCAACACATGGATAAATGCCAAGTGTTGGTGAAGAGGTGGCGGAAATGGAGCACACAAACACTACTGGTGGGAATGTGAAACCGCCTGCTCCAGAGCCAAGAGTGGGTAATGACCCGAGAGACATGGGAACACAGACACAAACATGGGTGGCCATAGCAACTTTACCCATAATAACCAAAAAAGGGTAACTATCCAAGCTTTCCATCTATGGTAAATGCATGACCAGTTGTGGTATATGCATGCAACAGAATACTACTTTGCTATTAAAAGGACATAAACTATCATTGTATACAACATGGATAAAAATCTCAAAGAAAAAAAAAAATCACACCGAATGAGCAGAAGCCAGCCCCAGAACAGCACATGCTGGAGGAGTCCACCATACGAGAGCCGGAATGTCAGGCTCCTCTGTGGCTACCAGTGGATTGCCCAGGGTGGGGGCCGGGGCCGGGAGATGCTGATGTAGTGGGACAGAGTGGACTTCAGAGTGATGCAAGTCTATAATGTGGCTGTGGTAGTTGTGACATGAATAAAAGTTTGTCCAAAGTCAGTGATCTGTACATTTACAATGGGTAGATTTTATATAAATCTTCTATCTACAAGGCTGACTGTAAGAAACAAACCGAGCACCTAAGCCTGCAGGAAGTGTAGAGTCCGGAGGTAAGGAGATTAGAGCACTGGCCCTAATGAAGGAGATGGCAACGAGCAGAAAGAGTGCCAGACCACCGGGAGGGAGGTGTGCTCAGGTGTGCCCACACACGTATGTCACGGAGCTTTAGCCCTGGACAGTTTCTAACCGCCTGCGTACCACTGCATCAGTAACAAAACAGCAAGAGCAAGAGGGTGGCTGGGAAGTGGCTCACAGAAGACGCGACGAGCAGAGTCTGGGTGGTGGCGCAGTATTAAAGACACCCGACGTCACGATGGAGCACAGCTGGCATGTGAGAAGTGTCACCTGCCCTTGTGGATAAGCACTACCTTTTCTATTTCACAACAGAAAGTGCAGCTAGCAGATCCTTTGCCAAATCAAGACAGCTGACTTACAGGAAGCCCTGCTTCACAGTGAGTTTCAGGAAAGGCTCAGTTCAATCCACAGAACTGTGCCAGACAAAAGAGGTGTAAGATATGTTCTGTCCCTTGGCAAATAAGCTTCCCAGCAATGTACCATCAGAGTGGGAGGACAGAAAGATGTACAGAGACACACTTGCTAAATTCCATCTGCGTGGGCTCGAATGTTTCCCCCACTGAGGAGAGAGTGGTAATGTAGCACCACTGCATGTTAGCAACTTGCACACTGCCTTCCATGGTAGAGCACTGAAACTGCTATGTGGAAACACATTTAAAAAGTGCCCCATCAGAATGTACTGAATAGGGCCGGGAATTAAGCTCAGTGGTTCCACCACCTGCCTTGCAAGTGCAAGGTCCTCAGTTCAATCCACGGTACCAAACAAAACAAAACAAAGAAAATGTACTGAATAGATAAAAAAGCTCCGTATTTGATTTCAATTTTTCCTCAGAATATAAAATAGTAACATCAGCCCTCCATCTAGTGGTCAAAAGCAGAAGTGTAACAAGGATGCCCTAGACACAGAACCAACTTGCGGGCCTGCATTTTCCAGCCGCTGCTCCTTCAGGCTGATGGAGCGCAGAGGAACACGCCTCCCTCCAGGGGAAGGCTCTGCCCTGGTGCGCTCCGCACGCACACCTGTGGCCCTCGACTCAGCAGGCCCCCTCGCTTTCTCCCTCCTCCGCCAGGCCTTGAGCCGTTTGCTCAGCAAGTATATGAATCTCCTACACAGATGGCAGTGAGGGAAACCCTAGAGTGGTGTGGGAGAAAGGTCAGCCTCTTGCATTTCCCAGCAACAGCAAATGCTGCACATCCGTGGAGGAGAGAGCAGGAGGCCAGGGGCTGGAATGGTGCTTCCCACTTACTTTAACAACAGAAGTGCTGGGACCCTCACACCCACGCACAGGATACGGCCCCCCCAGCTGCAGGAGAAGCAGCTGATGTGCTGGATCCGTCACTTCTCCCGTAGCCTAGTCCTCCCCGCCTGCCTTCACCCCACCTCCTCAGAGCCAGGGCAGCTGGATATGAGACCCTGGCCCGCCCTGCAGGAGGACTGAGGACAGAGGCTGACTCAGTCCAGATCCTGACCAAGTAAGCTGTGGCCATCGGGGACCACCCCACCCTCGCTGCCTCCACTCGTACCCTCTAGTCAATCTGCTTTCTGGCCACTGGGGCCTGAGGACCCTGTGGTCCGAAGGAGCCCGGCTCAGTCAGGGTCGCACAGGGTGGGCTGACGGCTTCTGGCCAGCAGCTGTCTCTCAGGCCAGTGAGGACAGAAACTCGTGAACAGCTTTTCAATCCATAGTGATTGTTTACAAAGCTGACCTTCGTGATTAACTTCTTCAAAAGAACCTGGAGGTGAGGGCCAAGTTGGCCTTTATTATCTTTCACCTTTGTTTTTTTAATCCAATATAAAAATTCCTATTGTCCATAGGAAATGCTAGAATTTCACCAGTGGCTGTTACACAACTGGCTCTTTCTCCCAGAA